TTGGCCCTGTCCATCTAAAGTGCCTCCCTGCTACTAGTTCTCCGTCTTTATCTTTCTTCTGAGGTAGAAACGATATACATATATAACAATAGATATACATATTCTTTATAGATATAAAGTTCATTCTATAAGAGTTTGTTATAATTATTGTATATGTAAATATCTTTAATATTTTTAATATTTGTATAGTAAAAAGAAATAGCAATATATTTGTTAATACTTGAGGTTAAGCCAATTAAAAAATTATGTTCAGGATTTTTGAGTAGATAAGACTATAGACAAATGTTGATTTGATATTTTTTAGCTATTTATATAGTAAGTATTAACTAGCATTTTCTGAAATAATATGGATTGCAAATAGAATATACCCATATGGCATATAATACTTGAAGTGATTTAATTTCTTTAATAATTGGATACAAGTTTTTTTATTAACAGGTTTGAATATCAAAAGTTTAATTACTATTATATATATTTTGTTTTATAATTTTATAATATCTAGTTCTGTTTATAAGTATAGAATTTTATTTGAAATAGTTATTTTAATATCAAAATTGTTTTTGATAACCATTGTAACAATATAATAAAAAGTCAGTTACTTATTTTAACAGAGATTTGTATAACTGTTATTGGGTAAGTAAATGAAATGATAATTTGAAATATGTTTTTATTTAATTGAATTTTTATTAATTTTTTTTTTTAGTAATTCATATCTCATTTTTTTATATTTTATATTTCTTTTATACTTCTCTTTTATATTATTAAATATGGATTATACTATTAGAGAATAATGACAATTATATTACATAATTCTTTTTTTCACAATTCTTTTATTTTTTTTATTATTAGATACTTATGTATTATTAACTAAACAGATTTTTTATAATGTCTTTTACAGGGATTAGTTATATAATAATAGTTATATACAAACTTAACCTATTACATAATATTAACTTTACTTATATAGTTTTAATATTACTATTTTTAGGAACAATAATCTAAATAGTATAATCTATTTGTGCTGATATTATTTAATAAAAAACTTGTTTTGTAATTAGATTTTTCTTTAAAATAGTTTTTTGTTACAAAAGATAAAACTTTTTTAAGATAGATATCAAGATTTTAATTGATTTATTATATAAATTGAGATATACTAATATGTTTTTGACTAAAAGAGATTGTTTTCTTAGGTTATTTTTGGACTTGAGATTTGTAATGAGCTCTGTTTTGTTCTTATTATACTTAATTAAGTTTAGGAATAGAAATGCAAATAAATATTAATAGTATTTTGTAAAGTTTTTATATTGTTACTAATAATAGTGACATTATTTATATAGGCTAGTATAGTTGATTTAATAATTATATTTTTAATAATTGCACTAATTATTTGATTATAAAAAATAATTCATAATAATGATACAAAGGTTTTTCTCTAGTCAATTTTATTAACTTCAAAATAGTTTATGAGTTTGTAATATATAATAATTTAAGCACATTTCTTTTAAGCAAATCAAGAATCAGTAGATTAGTTTAATTTGGAATTGTTATTTATTTTATTGCAAATTTTAAACTAAAAAGATTTATTGAATCAAATGATTTTAAAATATAGAAGAATATTATTCAGATTTCTTTGTTAAGATTATTTATTTTCTTAATTTTTAAGAAAGCAATTGAAATTGGTTATGCTTTAATTTTTTAAATCTGCAAAGTTATATTTTGATAAGATATGATGTTTTGAAATGATTATTGATAAGTTGTTATTTAATATTTTAGTAAAGATTTTTTTGCTTGTTTTTATAAGATATATATTAGTTAATTCATGATAAGATAATTTTTTTTAGATAATAGAATAACTGTAAACTTTTTCAAAATTTCAAAATTTAATTATTAGATATTATTTTATTGAAAAGTTTTTTTAGCTATTGATTGATAATTGAATTATAGTTGATTCAGACCTTGTATGAAATATGTAATAGACTAGAGCTTTTTGTTTAGAAAGATATAAAAAACATGGTTGATTTTATTTATTGAAATTTTTTTTGAATAACTTATCTAAAAGATCTAATAAAAGTAAGTATTCATATAATAATAAATAAATATTTTATTTAGAATAAAATAAATTTATTAGTAACTAAAAAACTTAAAAATTTTATTTAACAAGATAAATCTTATATATAATTATTTCTATAATTATATATAAATACAATAAAAAAAATAAACAAAAAAATTTTTTTAAATAATAGATTATTATTTTGTAATTATGTTATATAATTTATTTATTTGACAAGTTAAAATCCTTTTTCAATTATAATATAAATTTTCAAAATATTATTTCACATTTGCATATATGCCACTTATTATTATAATATCTTAATAATTTAATTTAATTCAATTTTTTATTTTAATAATATTTCAAATCTCATGTGAGTCTGCAAGTTTGTTTGATCCCAACTTACAGGATCATAATTATATATACTTAGTTTAGTTTAGATCTTGCAATAATTTATAAAATTGATTTGAAGATTTTTTAAAAACTTAAATTTAAATTATATTTTAAATTTTTTTATTTAATAGAAAAACAATAGTAAAGATAATGTTGGAAATTTTTAATTTTATATTTTACAATATTTTTACAGCTTAATTAAAAAAAATTAATTTGTGTATAAAATTTCGAATTTAAATTTTTATTATAAAACTTCAAGATTTTTCTTAATTAAGCTAAACAGTTATTGTAAAATATTAAAATTAAAATCTTCATTATCTTTACTATTGTTTTTCTATCAAATAAAAAATTTTGAAATATAATTTAAATATAAGTTTTTAAAAAATCTTAATTTATAATTTACTGTATAATAAATTTCTATACATTTATAATAAAATATAATTTTACATTACATAGAACATTTTTATTGACCATTTATATTTCTTCCATTTTGAAACACAGTATTTGTTGGATTGTACAGTAGATATAAAAATAGAACTACTTGAAAAGGATTTTTTTATTTTTCATTAAAATTTTCTTAAAAATACGCATTACATTTTTATTAAAGTTTTAGACAGTAATTACTTTACATATAATAATAATTGGCTTTATTTTTTAAATTAATACTAGTAATAGGAGAATGTTTACAATTTTGAAGACATCCCTAAAAACTAATTTTACACGAAGATTAAGATATAAGAAAATGTGCAATTATTAATATTTTTATTCTATCGACAATACTGTATATTAAAACTATAAATATCAAATGGACTGATACTGTGCAACAAGTCTTTATTAATTAAAATAAAGTTTATCATACAAATTCGTACCATAAAAACCCTTAACCTAAATTAACCAGATTTTGAATTTGACCGTATCAATCCTTTGATTTCTCCAATCTCTTCAAGCAAATTAATAAGCTTGACGTTTTCGAGTGAATCTTTATAGTGAATCAATTTGAACAACCTTTCTGGAATATACGGAGGATTCAAATCACCGTATGTGTTGTTTTGAAGGGAAACGATGATATCTTTTAGCTCGATGACATCAGCTTCATAATAACTAAAAGTGAATGAAAATGATCACTTTGTCAATAGATAATTTTAGAAGTTTGACCATTTTTGCAAACGATAAGGAATGAGAATGCCTACAAGAATTCGGGGAACCAATTGTGTTTTCTCCTCTGATGAGGTAGCATATAAAATAATTCAATTTCCGCCAAAACCTTGAGTAGAAGAAGAAACAATAAACGTTATCATTAGATTTTATTTTAGTAATAATTATACAGTAGTTAGTGATGATAATCATCATCCTACATACATCCGCCTTTAACAGTAAAAAGGATTCGTAGTTGCTTGTTTCACTAATCGCGTTACTGAGCAATCCAATAAACAAATTCATCAAATAAATGGTGGTGAAGAACGAAAATGTCACAAGCACAATTACTAATGTAAGGTTTTCCGTTAAAGTCCAAGATGAAGTTGGACTTGAGTCGCCTGTGCAATTTTTAAGCAGAATTTTAATAAAGTCAAATAACAAAAAAAATTAAAAAGCACAAAAGATAATACCTGTCAACATCAAATAGACGGCCAATATGGCGGTAATGAGCGTGGAAAACAAGTTTGTGCCTTGATCAGGAGGGTCAACTATTGTCGTGGTCTCATCGATAGTACCGTTTGATGAGACGTAATATAATTTATTGGCTAAACTCCATGGATTATTTGGGTCATCTGAATTGCTTGGCGTTGTTAGGGAGTAACTCGAGGTTGGCCGTAGTAAAAGGTGTAAAGAATGCGCAAAAGCAAGAACAATGAACCCTAAAATAAATATAAAAGAGAATGCTCTGCGAGCGACTCCAATAATCATAGCAAAGTAAATTCCGAAAATGCTCGTGGCTCTAAAAAAGAAAAGGAACTTAATTTCCAGTAGTAAAGTTGTAATTGTGGCTAGCCAAGTTTGAATTGAACCATATTCAAGCCATATTATGGAGCTTATTATCGAGAATAAGATTGCGCCTAAATCTAAAAAAGAAAAATATGATAAATACTCGCGCTATCGTATGCGGTTTAGGAATTGGATATACCCTTCTTTAATTTACCGAAATAATTCCAAGGACTAGCGACATATCTTCTCATATCATAGGCAAATTGTCTGATTTCAAAAAGAAGAAGAATCATTCCTGTAACTATTGTTGAAATCAGGAGAGCTTTCAACATATTCCAAGAGAGCTGGCTTTCCAAAGTTGCAGAAATTGTAAAAGATGCCATAAATATAGTATAAAATGCCCAAATCGACAGATAATATTTTCTTCCGTATTTATTCCACTTAAAATCTAGCAGTGCTTCGCCGTTCCACCATTTGTACAGATGAGGTTTGTCATAGTCGGTAAAAGGACTGTGCTTCGGATAGATTAATTCCAAATAGGTATTATATTCTGTAGGATAGCTGACAAAATTAGGAAAAGGAAAAACCAATTTGATGGTCAATTTTCCTTCATCGGGAGAGAACACGCTAGCGAGGAACGATCGTAATTTCTTATAACAATACAAATAATAGTTGAAGACGCGTTTTATCGGCGTCAAAATATTAATCGGTGAAATTTCGGGGTATGCGTCAAGATGTTGATGATGTCTGGAAGTTGAGTAATGGTTGACAATTCTGAATGAATTTTCATCTCCGGGTACAAAAAAGGCTACTTTAGATAAAACACGATTTGTAATGTTAGGATACTGATTTGACAAATGAACAAAGTTGCAGGCAATGAGATTTAGCAATCTAATGTTTGAAACAAAATTTCCTTCGCTATTATCAACAGTTAATTTGATGATAGAGTCCATGAGCTTTTCAATTAATTCGTTGTCCTCTAATGTAAACAACAGCTCCAACAAGTTTTTCCCGTAAAGGTCTATTTTAAACGGATCCTCGAAGTAGTCGTCAATTATTTCTTTAAAGAAAGGAGATTCCTTCCCCGATCCATTTGTGAATTTTTGCAGATTCTCAATAATAAACGTAAAGTCTGGCATGGGTAAATATCTTTCCATTAAATCCTTTTCATCAATTTTGAGATTCCAACTCCAAAAATAGTGTAATCGTATTTTCTCCGAGTCATCTTCGACTTTTATATCCTTAACTGTCCAAATGAATATACCTATTGTTGCGATCATCAGCAGATCCTCATTTTCCAAAACTTGAACGCTCTTGACATATTCTGCCAGTCCTTGTTTTGATTCATCTTCTCGATAAGATGAATCTTTCCTTGTCATCTTTCTCCCGTTTCTTCCTTTTTTGGGATCTTCAACTATCATGTATATGTCGCGGCCTCTGATTGTTTTTTTATCGCTTTTTGCCTCAAGAATGATAGATTGAGAATCAAACTTTATACTCCAACGCCCCATAATGTTATCAGTGTGGATAAACGGTCCTTCAACGGAGGACGTTTTTGGTAGTGTAGTCCGTAGCAAATATTTTACATCTTCCCCTCTCGGGTATACATTAAGCGTACCCACATGATTAGCCCAATTTTTCTCAACAAACTCTCGAACACACAATTTATTATTGTAGACATAAAAATACTTATTATTACTTAACATATACGGTTCCGTTAACTCAACAGTGACATTCTCAGAATCCGTATTTTCGAGTTCTTGTTTTGTTATTTCTCTTTCAAGCTCTTCTCGCTCGCGTCTCTCTTCCGTGATTTCTTCAAGCATTCTTTTCACTTCATTTTGCACAAAGTCCGGGTCAACCTTTCTTTCAGTACCTTCAGACGATTCCATCAAAATTTTTGCATCAATTTTTTTGCCGAGTGTGTATGGATCGAGCAAATAATAGGAATGACTCCACTCATTTTTAGAGCATACAACAAACAAATATACCCCAACGTTTGACGAAAGAAAGTAACATTCTCTTATATCATATTCAGGGGAAACTAATATGCATTATTTTAATATGTTAGAAAAGTTTGAGCGTTACCGTTTTTTTGAGATTCCATAAAATCAAAAATCACGTATACTCACATGATGCTACAATACGCTGTTCTTCCAAAGAGCACGTGTAAATATTTTTATTATCCCAAATTGCCAAAAAAGTGGCGTTTTCATTGAGAACTTGGTTTCCGACAATGAAGCCACGCGGAGAAGTGAAACTCCATTCTAAAGCCCATTCTTTCTCAAATTTTAAGGATTTGACATCCCATCGCGTGAGTATATGGATATCATAACGGTATATGAATAGCTTCCCATCTGCACTTATTCTGAGATAATCATATGGACTGAAATCGGGAACTCTGAATATATTTTTACATTTCCAGTCCAATTCCGTGAATAAGTAACCGGTAGCAATATCTCCACTCCTTTTGACAATAACATACTCTACGTAGTTTTGGTTTGTGATAAAAGATCTTTCGATCCATTTTCCCTGATCCCCGGGGGTTTTTAATAAATGGCATTTCATATTTTGTGGATTTTTCGCATCGACAAGAACCAACTCTTAATAGATCAAAATAGTAAAACGTCGAATTGAGCCGAAAGGCATAGTACAGTATTAAATTAAAACATATACAAACCTTCTGTGGTTTCAGTATTATCGTTAAATGAGGCATTTAGAATGACGTGATTCTTATCGGATATATCAAGGAGATCTATGAAGTATCCATTTAATTCTGGATCAGGTTCCGGAAGTGTTTCGAGTATATCGAACGTAAATGAGGCTCTGTATTTTGGGTCTCCCTGTCCTTTGATGGAATATACACAAACTATATCTTTAAAATAGTCCCAAGCTGCAGCATACTTTAAATTTGGAGAACACACTATTTTTGTATTTTCTTCAATTTCGGGAGGTTCATTGTCATCGGCGTTGAAACTTGCGGAATCATTGTCATCTTCATCCACAATTTCTAACCTCACTTGGCTTGAAGAACCCTCGAGGTTGCTCATCTCTTTAATCTTTGAAGCACTTTCGAGCAAAGGAACGACAGTTTTATAATTATTCTTAGCCCGGAGATCTTTTATTTCACGTGGCTTAAGTATGAAATGTACTCAAGCCTTCGAGCAATGACTTGTTCGCCTCCGTAAAAGCCACCATGATAAATATGAGCCACCAAATATTTGTTCGAAGAAGCTGCTTTGTAACTGAATGATTGGATAAATCAAACAATCGGTCATGCATTGTTTGGATCCATTATGGTACAGTATGAAAGAATTTATTTTTAAAATGCCAAACATTGTTTTACGTTCATGTCGATATATTTTATTGTGAATGTTTAAATTGAACCAGTTAATTTTTATTATATAAATATTTTTTGTTAAAACTCTCGATCAACTGGATTAAATACGTCATAACCGACAAAATTACCTATACGAAAAGTTATGCGATAACCATTACAGAATCTTTTCCTAACTTCCATATCCTTAAAAAATAACCACAATTGACTCAAGAGTTAATGCATTTTGTTGTATGTTTTTGTCAGTAATAACTCGATTTATTGCAACATATGTTTTTGCATCTTATGCCTACATTTACATACTTGAATTTTTTCTCAAAGTGCACGACCATATTCCAATAACCGAGACAATATACCGTATTGACATATTAGAATTAACTATAAACACTAACTATGCAAGTTCTTATTAACAACTCTGGAAATATTGAATATACAGTACATACCTTGCGTAAAAGTCCCGAAAAAACATCATCTGATAATCAGCTTCTCTTAAGCAAATATCCTTGCTATAACATCGGTCCCACTCATCATTTGCATAATTCGAACTAATAATATAGCCATCTTGCCTTCTGTTTTAAAAAATGTGGTAAACGGTCCCTTATTCAAATGCTAACAATTTTAAGCTTCTCAAATGGGAATCATTCATTGACTTCATCTGAATTAGAGACGTTAACTTAAATGTCCAAAATGAATTTATCCATAATAGAAAATAATTCTAGGATCTGATAATCCAAAATCATCGATTTAAATTCGATCATTGTAACTTAATATATTTTTGGAATACTGTTTATAATGTAAGGTCGTAAATAAGGGTGTGTCATTCTCGCGTGTCGGCATTAGGTATCACGAGATGTGGCTCGGATCAATCGGGACGGCGGCGCAATAAATGGGTAATACGAGTATAGCAGAACTTATGCGCCGAATATTATGTAATAAGTCACGTGATTAATCCGGCTGGAGTACATGCAATTCTTTCGTAATACTGTAATGCTTTATTTTCTATTTATATATTTGCTATTATGTTAAATCAAAAATTAATCGGTTACAAAAATTCAAAGAATCCATTTTCTTTTTTTTCTGAACTTAAATGTGTTTGCCAATAAAATCTCTAAGTCTATTATTCTTGCACATTCTCATCTTTTCTTTTTTTCGAGAATATGAAACAATCGACGCCATATTTCTTTTCAAAGAAATCCAGATCTAATGCCATTATGTATTTTTGTACTGTAATGGTAGTTTAATACAGTATATTGGAATGAATATTACTGTCAAATTGAAAAAATCCCAGGCAGTACATATGTTACGACAACGGATAACTATTTTATATAAGTTATTGTGAATTGGGGCAACAACAACAATAACAAGAAAATTAAATATTATAATATAAAAAATTGTATTGAAACAGTCAAAACTTGTTAAATTCACGTTTTCTTTTCATTATTTGTTTATATAAACTTAAACTTACATAAACATCTGTTTATTCATTATGTAATGTAAAAAAATTTATTGCCACGTCATTCTAACAATTAATCATACAGTATTACAGTAATAATTTTAAATTATTAAATTTATAATATTTAATAAGTTATGTACAATAAATAAATTTAATGTTTATAATAAAATAAAATGACGCTTATTTTACGAAAAAAATTAATGTTACAATCATAATTAAATTAATTTAAAGGACATAATTAATCTAAAAATTAAATTCTATAATTTACTTAATATAGTGTATTGGAATAGTATTTTATATTTATTATTTTTTTTATAAGATAAACAGGTCACGATATCAAACGCTATTTTAAGCATATACAGCTTTTAACTTCTTACATTTATATATTCTGGAAGATCAATATTTATGCTTTCTCTACGAGTTCGTCAAGCTACTAATAATCTTTTTTATGTTCTAAAACAGATTTACTTTTTTTAATCAAGCTTTATGCATAATATATTATATATTAAAATTAATAAATTCTATATAAAATATGTTACATCATAATCTTAAGAAAATAATCAAATTTATATTAGTTTTGCAACAGCACATAATTTTAATATTAAAACATTATAAGCAAGATATTGTTTATGATTAATAAAGAAAAACTTTGTTAAATTAAAGAGAAACCAGACAACCTTGTTATTTTCAAAGAAAAAAATCTTTCTTATATAAATAATTTTTTTTAAAAAATAAATAAAGTAATAATATATAATATAATAATTTTATTGGTCCTTTGGAAATTATATATATGTGATAAAAAATAAAAGCAAATAGTAATAAATAATAAACAAATAATAATGAAATTAATTAATACAGTATTAAATTATTTATATATAATTCAAATAAGTTAAATAAAATTAATAACAAAGATTCTATTAATATTTTAAAAATTGTCAATAATTATTTCATATTTAACTTAAGCTCCAAATATTACATATTATATGATTTAAAGAAATATATATTCTTCAATATTTTTATTTTCAGAAATTTTAATTAAAATATTGCATTTTTGTTACAATATTTTTATTAATATTATTTGTATTTTTATTTGTATTACCAATCAATATATAATTATATTTTCTTTTAATCAATATATATTATTTTTTTGTATGATTACATTAATATTATCAATATATTAATAGAAAACTTTTCAAAAAAAATTTAAATTTATTTTAACAAAACTCAAATTATTATTAATAATTTTTTATATACTATATTTTTATAAAAAGATCTTATTTATTATTATTTTTTACTATTGTATTTGAAAAAACAAAAATATAATTGTTTTTTTAAATTTTATATATTAAAAATAATTTAAAACAAAAATAAAATTCATATAATCTTTGTAAAGATTATAATATTCAAAATTGTAAAATAATATGTTTATAAAGTTTTTTGATAAATTAATTATAAAAATGTTTTAAATACAATACATCTTCAAATATATATGGCAACTTAATATTTTACCCAACACCTTTAAAACTAAATTTTGGACCTTTTTGAATAACAAAATTATTAATATTATTAAAGTTCGCAGTAATATCATCAGATCTGGCAATGAAACATAGATCTATTTTTTACATCTAATAAAGAAAATAACAAAGAATAGATCAGAAAGGGAGAAAATAGACACCAGATCACCAGAACAGCACAGAATAGTAAGAAACGAATGTTCTGTGTATTTTTCTCCATCGACGAGATTGTGGCTAGTAAAGTGATACCAAAAGGGACTACTTTGAATAGTAATTTTTATGTTGAAGAGGTGACGTGCTGCCAAAAGTTTTTGAAAATTTTATGAAAAAAAGGGAAAGATAAATGATCCGAAATGTGTGCTTTATTATAACAATGTTACATCACATAAAATGAAGGCTGTTACTAATTATTTAGAAGAAAAATGTATTGTATTATTGCCCCATTCTTCTTATAGTCTATATTATACATGTTGCTGAAATTTGTAGATCTTTGATGCAATTGACGCAATTATTTGATGCAATTAATTGAGTCACTATTAAAACATATAAATAATTAAGTCATGACAC